GCCCATCCCGTTGGCAGATCTGGGGGCACGTGCCCCCCATGCCCTCCCAGGCTGTGTGCTCCCCCTCCCTCTACCCCCTGGATGAACTGCTTGTGGCTCTGCTACCTACCTCCAAAGCTGCAGCCGTCAGTGCTGCCCTGGGTTTGGGTGGGGGGGGCACGTGTGGCAGAGAGAGCTCCTGCTGCAGGCTGGGCTTTGTGCCCTAAGCCCTGCTGCATGTGGCACCCCAGCCTCTGCCCCTTCCCTCCCTCCCTGACTTGCTGGGCTGGGGGAGGCGTGCGCATTCATGCATGCGTGTGCTCAACCCCAACCCAGGATGGGCCTCAAGGGGCTCTGGGATTTACAAGCTGATTGCGATGGACACTTGGTGCCTGAGTTCCTGTTCCCAGTGACTGCAGATGACAGAACAAGGAGCAATGGTCTTAAGTTGCAGCAAGAGCAGCTTAGGTTGGATACTAGGAAAAACTTCCTCACTAGGAGGGTGGTGAAGAACTGGAATGGGTTATCTAGAGAGATGTTGGAATCTCCATCCTTGAAGGTAATTTTAAGGCTGAGCTGGACAAAACCCTGGTGGGGATGATCCTGCTTTGGGCAGGGGGTTGGCTTAGATGACCTCCTGAGGTCCCGTCCAACCGCAACTTCCTGATTCTAATTAAAAAGCTCCCCACCCCACCTCAGAGCATGTGTAAAATGCCCCTTAGGGCATTTTAAATCTTATCATAGATTCATAGATTCAAGTGTCAGAAGGGACCACAGCGGGCCATCTAGTCTGACCCCCTGCCCCTGGCAGGCAAGAAAAGGGTCACCAAACCTGATGTTTAAGCCTCTACTTAAATAATTTTGAAACTTAGGAGAAATTTTCTTACATCTTTTTACATTGAAATAGAGTACAGCCTTCATATCAGGCTGATACTACCCTTACCATTATCAACTACATTTCACAGTATGCTGCTGTTGTCTTCATAGTTTCATAGATTTAGGGTTGGAAGGGACCTAGTAGATCTTCTAGCCCAACCCCCACCCCAGGGTGGGAGAACAACAAAACCCCAAAACAAGAAACGGGACTCAAATGAGTCCAGCCAGGTAGGCATCCAGCCTCTTCTTAAAGACCCCCAGGGTAGGGGCCAGCACCACTTCCCTTGGAAGTTGGTTCCAGCTCCTAGCCGCCCTTGTATGTAATTGGATTTCAGTTCCAGAATGATGGCTTTGCCAAAATTTAATACTACAATTTGGTAAGGTGGGAGAAAATCCTTCCATCATTTTTCTTCTTTTAACTGTCTTACCACCACCCTCTACTAGTTAAGTCCCTACTTCTAGCCTTAGTGAATAATGAGGTATAGATTTTTAAAGTACACTGTGTATTCAGAGTAGCTTGCCCACTAGCCCTTGTGTTACCTTTTTAACTAACATACCAGGATGCCCCAGCAAGTACAGGAATGAAAAGTATTTTGATTAACAACAAAAATCTTGCTTCAGACTAGCAAAAATCAAGAACTTGCAAAAGTAATAACACTCACTGAATAACTGTAACATGCCAAGACACTAAAGGTCAGTTCTTAATAGAATATCCAAGTTAGAATTTCAAAGTCTTTCTGAGTTGAAACTGGAAAAAGGCCCCTTTTCCTATGCTGAATCATTGTCCTATTTCCAGAGGAAATAGAATGGAGGTAGGGAGGCTATACTAGACAGATTACATTTTGTAAAAGGAGTTGCCTTTTCAGACCAGGCTTGGATATGGCCCAGACTTTTATACAACACAGTCTAGATTTTAGTGCTTCTTGTTCCTTCTCAGGGTCAGAATTACTACAATTTGCTATGTAAATTCCATTATATACAGCTGCACATTAAGAAGTAGCACTAGTGAAAATAACGTTCAAATTTAGTTCTAGCCCCTCCCAGTTTATGCATTTTCAAACTATGTACCTGTCTGAAAAATACAATGCATGTAGCAAACTATTAGAATTGAAAAAAGTTTATTTGCAGGAAACATCCATTAGGGCTGTGTAAAATGAACAGTGTTCCATTTCCAATTTTGTTTAAACTTAAAACAGTTTTGCCATTTCAATGCTGTTTCAATCTTTTGCCCATAGGATACACTGGGGAAGGTCAAAACAGCCTATAACTGTCATTTCTGGCTTGGTTTGGATGAAACTTGCAGGGATGGTAGCCCCTTCTGAGGGCATGAAGCCTGCCAAGTTTGAAGGAGATAGGTGCAGGAGGTTTGGGGAAACTGCACCCCAAAGTCTTGAAAGCAAAACTCCTGTCACATGTATGTGTTAAGCCACAGCAGGGTCAAAACTGCAGGCATGCTAGCCCCTGCTGAGGCCACAAAGCCTGCCAAGTTTCAAGGAGATAGATGTGGGAGGTTCAGGGGAAATTGCACCTCAGGCTGTGGACAGACAAAACTTGCAACATGGATGCTTGTACAACTGAGTGTGTCTGGCTTGGGGCAGAGGGGGTTGAAAACTACAGGTCTGTTAGGTCTTGCTGCAGCCACAATGTTGGCTACAAAGGACCAACTCACAGGATCATCAAAATTCTAGTTTATTAGATGGATGTGAAAGTCAGATCATAAACCTTGGGGCTGATCTGCTCAAATACACATATTCACGCATGCGCGCGCACATGCTCGCAGTAGCTAGCTATGAATACTAAGCACTGGTGTCAAGATATACCTATATCCCCAATTACTGTAGTCTGCTGTCAATGGCCAGTCAAAGATTCTTTCAGTGCAATGTTGCTTCAGAAGGGGGTTGCTGGCTGGTCCTTCTGGCTGGACAAGCAGTGTGCTGGTCAGGTAAAGAAGGGTGCCATTGGGGGTCATTCTTCACTGCCTTTTATCCCTCTCCAGCAGACTTTGGTGACTCCCCGGTTCTCAGGCTTACCCAATCCAGGGGTCATTGACCTCCTGGGACATCCCCCTTGGTGGCTGCTGGATGGTAGCCATCAGCCCCAGGAGTCACATCCGTAAGTACATGCAGTCTCACAAGTCTGTTGATGAATTTTGATTAATTCACTGCTGTAATACGACTCTGGGAGCAGTTGATCAGCAGGTATTCAAGAGTCAGTCTCCAGCATTCATTAGTTCATACAGGGGCTTCTGTGAGAGTGAAGTTTCAAGGAGTTCCTGGCTCTGTATTGATTCTTTTCTCTCCTTAGTTTGTGGTTTCCTAGGTGTTAATCCTTGTGCATTAACTCATTATCATAGCTAGCTCCTGTGTTACACAATCAATTTGATTCACTCAGGGCCCAGCTCAAGGCAGGGAGGTAGTGGTCCAATTCCTGCCACATCCACTATTCTTTTACTGTGAATCCCTCATCCCTCACCAATTCAACCAAGTGTTAGTGTAACACTATGGTGCACTTAAAGTACTACATGTTCAGGTAGGTTTTTCTTAGGAGCCTACAACTACAAATAGGAATTCTTGTATCCTAGTATAGCCAAACGGTCTGAAATGTATAGAACCTCATTCTGAATTACAGTTGCTTTGAGGCAAGATTTCCTCTTAAGACATGACAATCCCAATTTTGATTTAGTGTCTCTCAGTAAACTTCAAAGCCTAGCTTTCAAACTTCTTGAAGTTTGAAGTGAGAGAGGATATATGGTTTGTAATAGGTAACCTCCAACAAACAGAGGCTGGAGGAGCTGGGAGAAACAGAGTAAGATTTACAGGTTGTGGAAGAGCTTGTTAAAGCTTTATACTAGAGTAAGAAACCTAGGGCTGTATTACTGCAACTAGAGTACTTTCCCCTGGTAAGCAACAGAAAGAGGGATAAGAAAGTCTGAGTTAAGCACAAGTGGCAAAATAACTGTAAGTTAAGTTCACAGGGAAATCAAGAGCAAAGGTTCCCAATTAGGTATCTAAACTCCCTTGTAGAAGTAGTTTAAAGGAGCTGGTAGATCTGGTATTTCCAAATCTATGGCAAGTACCAGAAGTACTGGAGTTGCAAGAAACAGGTTTGAACTTTTTTTCCCCTTCCCCTAATTTAAAAAGGTAAAAAGCACAGCAGCAGTTAGTTTGGACTGCTGAGAAAGTGATAGAATTTGTTAAACTCCCTTGTTAAAGGTTTTTAAAATGAGACCAGCTATTAAATTTCAAGGGTCAGGAAGTATTGCCATGGGTAGCTCATTACTGCATAAGATCAATGAAGTTACACAGATGTAGTGCATAAGCAGCAGCATCTCACCTTTGCCTATTAAGAACATAATAGAACCAAAAGCAAAAAAAGTTCCCCAAAAAGTAAGGTGGAATCTCTTCATGCATGTTTGTGCTTCCTGTAAAGTAAAGCATTTCACAACAGCTCCAAGTACTACATTAAGTAGGTTTAAAACAAAAAAAAAAAACAAACAAACATACAAACACATTGCTGTGTGAAATTTGATGCATCTGAACCTTAAGACTGCTGCACCCAGAAGGCTTTCTACAGCTCTTCCTGTCTAGAAGAGAAGTTTCCCAATTTACTTACTGGTCCAGAAATTAAGAGGTTGCTTTTGCCCTCTGCACAGACTAGGGGTGGCTAATGCAGCTTCTGAAGAACTGAATACATTCTTTTGGTCTGTTCCTTATTTTGTTTAGTTTTCTTCAGCTGTTATCCTTAGAGTCATTATTGCTGCTTGAGAATTGAACAGCTTTTAAAGTAGTATGCATCTTGCAGCTAGATGGGTTAGGAAGTCTGCCATCCCAGTACAGAACATGGCACAACTACCTCCAAATGTAAAACTGCATTGTGCTATTTAAATGACAGTATAGAAGCATCACTTAAAAAAGTAAAACAAAAACACCACAACCAACAAGTGAGGTACAGAGCCCAACTGTCCTTTGGAAATGTGTCTAATTTTTACCTCAAGTTTAAGTCTGTTACAGAACATGAGAGAAAATGGGGGTGATGAGAAGAATATTCATCTTACTAGATGTGCTGTTTTTGTTTATACCAGTTTTATAGTACATTTCAAAGTCTAAAACAAATGGATGGAGGTAAGGGCATTCCATACTGGTTTGATTGTCAAGGATTAGATATGTATTCAGAGGACACATTGTTTGACAGCAGGTGAGAACTTATCCAAGACTTACATTGGTACAGGCTAAGGTATGAATTTAGCTTCAGAGCCTGACTCTGCTGCTTGCTCCAAATAAAAAAATTTTTGATTTAGCTTCTAATTTTGGAAAGGAGTAAACTAAACTAGGCCATTTATCAGAAACAGGTCCATACAGGTAGGTAGGTCAGATAAGCATCTCAGGTAGATAAAGCATGGTATTGAAGAACTTAAATACAGGTACTGTAGAATTAAATGACAAACTCCTATTTTATATGGCAAGACACGCAAATCATTTTGTTGGTTTAGTAAATAATTCATGCAACTTTCCATGTGCAACAGTATCTGTTCAATCCATTCTTCATTTTACCATAGCAGTTTGCATAAGACTGTAATTAAGTAAAGAAAACAGACAGTTAAAACTGAACATCTGATTAATTCTAGAAGGGCTGGAATTGAGTGACTGATGAATAGACCAACTGACTTCAGTACATCTCTTGGTTCTGGGCTAGCACAGAATAAAACAGGTATTTATGTACCCCCACCATAAATGGCAAGTATGGATGACAAATAATTTTTCTGACTGAGAAGTTCAGCAACATGCTTGGAATTGATTTTTATTCTAGGAAATTAACTTTACAGCATGAAAAGTATTTACACAAGATACTAAGTTAGCCTAAACTGGTATTGCAGGAGTCTTACATAAATACAATAGATTAAATCACTTTGCTTTTAGTGGCAATTCAGTTTATTACAGTTGCTTACAAAGGTTCACAAATGTCTAACAAGTCCCTTTGTTCTCAGCTGCATAACCTGGAAGTGTTTAAGTTGCATGTGAAAACTACATGAACACACTTAAATAAAAAACTATTATAAAAGTGATGGCGCAGCAACTCAATTTGCTGAACACAAGGAAAAAGAAACAAGACTAATGGCTGTTTAAGCCATGTAGTTTTCCATTATGAAAAATGTATATCCATTTTACATCACTTCAAGATGTCTGGCATTGCACTCCTGTTCTAGGTCCTTCTTCATCATCTTCATATGCTTCTCCACTATTACGGTAGGCTTGCTCTCTTGGGTCAAAGTCTACAAGATCTACCTGATCCATGTCATCTGTAATCATGACTACTTCTCGTGGAGGAAGCAGACCTTCCAGCATATGCAACTTCTCCCTTGGAAGCCAATGGTGCTCTGGAAATTGGACCTACAATATATGTTATTCTGTAAGTAATTATTCCTTAGCTGAACTGCTACACAAGGCATGAATGAGAATAAGACAATAAGCTTACCAAGAACTGTACAATTAGACAACCTCTGTCCAATGGAGATTTGTAAGTGGGCATCCCTTCATTGTTGATACATTTTAAGTCACCATGCTTTATCACTTCTCCTGTCCAGAGAGAGGTATTAGTTTATTAAGCCTGAAAACTAGTACCTTTACATTCACTTTAAAACTGTTGGGCTATAAAGGAAGCATTCCTGTTTACATTCCTATCTGGAGAACATCTCTCCATTTTGTGAAAACCCAGGCAGAAATAGCTGTCCCCACCATGTTGATGTCTAACAGTAGGTGGGAAAAAAAATTCTTTTAAGTTTTTTTGTTTTGTTTTTTTTTAAAAAAATTCTCCTTTGAGAATATTCTTTCAATTTATCTGCTACATATAGATTCACTAAATTCCTAGTTATTTGGTCCCAATGTCAAGCTTCTGAGAAGCTGACATCTTATAGAGCGTATGTACCCACAGACAACACCATTGTGCTAGGCAACCTCACCAACTGAGGGCTGACTCAACTTCTGGACACCAACAAATTGCATTTTGAAAGCCAAAAAAAAAATGCAAAGACGGTTTTTGATTAAAGCCATACACAGAGCTAACATTTGCCAAAAAATGTAACTGCTGTAACAAATTCAGAACCACAGCAGGACCTTCAATAGAAGCAACTGCATCAATATTTAAAACCTACCTGGTCTAGTAGATACAGTAAGGATCCTATTATCCAGCGTTTCAATAGTCTTTCTGAAGCCACATAAAGCCTCACAGAGTTGGATTCTCATTTTCATAATTAAATCATGTCCCCGTCTCTGAAAGACACTGTGATCCCTTTGATCAAGCACAATAACAACATCACCAGGTTCCAGGTCAGGTTCTTGATCACCTTCTCCATGAAATACTATTTTTTGCCCATCTTTCATGCCTGAAAAGAAAAAAAAAAGTTACAAAATTGGTTTTGTTAAAACACACAACAAAAACCAAAAACTTAATACTTCACAGTCTATTTAGAGTCCCTAAAATTTTACAACTCAGTTCCTTTGAGTTAAGAAACAAAACTAGTTGCAAGATTTTCAGGCTAGACTTGCTTAATTCTTACCTTTATCAATATGAACTTCTATGATCTTTTTCTCTCTAACAACTTTACATCCATTGCAGTTTTCACACCTATCTTTTGGATTTATTCTTTCACCTTGGCCTTTGCATTCTGAACACACAGTTTGAATTTGCTGCACCATGCCAGGTCCAATCTGCTGAACAATAACTTGCATTCCTCTTCCTTTACACATGGGACACTTCTCTATGGCTCCTCTCTTTCCACCATATCCTTGATAGAGAAAAAAAAAAGAATTAACCTGAAGCAAGAGTTTAAAGGAAAGCTAGTCACTCAGCAACACCGGACTGAAATTCCCTACAAAGTCTCTAATTCTTTGCCTCTAAGGGAGGGAGTACATTTAGGATAGGCTAGATCCCCAGGAAATTCTGTAAAAACTTGTGAAAGTTTAGTTTTTGCATCATGCATCTGTCTCTCACAGTTATTAAAATCCCCATCAAACCAGATTTTAGATATACTACCAGATTGCTCACTGTCAGCTTTATCCCTCCTTTCATATCTAAGCCGTTTTTGGCAAGGGGTCATAAAATTTTTAATGTGATTACAGCTTTTTGAAACCATGTCATTTGCTAGATTTCTTTAAGCCTAGGTTGTTAGTATTTGCATATAATCCAACTTGTTCTTCCAGAGGTAGAGAGAGAGCCACATTAAAGTGGTCGTGTGACATTATCCATATGACAAGACAACAAACCTCAAACTTTTACCTGAAGCAAGTCAATAAGAGGCAGCTTAAAGAACACTCCTAGCTGTAGAATATTCTATAGCTCTTAATTTGATTCTTGTCTGTAAGAATCGTGAACTCTAGTCTCTATTAATATGCAAGTAAGATAATTGCTTTGATATTAGAGCTTTTTAATTAGTGACTGGGTACCACAGCAATTACTCAGAGGTTCATATAAACCACATTTTGAAGTACAAACTAGTTGCAAAGAAGTGAGGATTTTCTCTTTGGTGTTAAAATGCTTACCTTCACACTTTGCACAAATCACATTCTTCTGTAGTGCCAGTTTCCTTGTGACTCCATTATACAAGTCTTCAAGAGATACGCTTAACTGATGCACAACGTTCTTCCCTTTAAGGAAAAGAATTTTAAAAAAGGTCAATACTGGGACAATTATAATTATCCATGACTTCTTATAAGGTTTCCAAACAGATTGCTTGTTAGTGCAAGACAGTAGCATAAGACTGGGTATATTACACATGCAACAAATACTAGAGGGCTACATTCAACCCTCTCAAATATGCATGACCTAACAGTTTTCACCATTTCACTCGCACAGGAATATAGTTTGACTTTACATCAAGTAATTGTCATTAATCCCATTTGCCAACTTGGTTAAGTCAGAAAGAATAAGGGCACTATCAACTTGATATTTGATCTTAAAAAGTTTTTTAATTAGACCCACCTTCAGATTTTCAAGCAGTGGCATAAGCAGGGTTTTCCTGGGTAAGCCCTTCTGGAGTGTAAGGCAGGGGGCTTGGGTTCCAAGAGCAGGCATCCTCTCCCCACTTCCCTCTCCAGCTGCTGCTTCAGCCACATGTGTTCCACTTACCCCCCCAGCCCATGCTCTTAAAAACAGCAGCAGCATGGTGCCTGTGCACCAGCTGCTGCAGCTACAAGAACATCACTATGGGGCAGCTCTTATTGCTGGGGTACAGACTATGGGGATGAGGGGTAATTTTGGCACCTTTTAAGCTATGCCAAAAACTATGGTTTTCATGCCACTGCCACAGCATTAGTAACAGGAAAAAGAATGTTCTGAAACCATGTACTAAGCTGGCAAACAGTGGTGAAACAGTGACAGTGCTACCAAAAGCAAGACATGAGCTCAAGTAAAGTTTGAATGAAGTCATTTGTAGTAACCCCAGATATTACCATCTTATGACAGTAGACACATATAGCGAGTGATTTTTCAAGTTGATGGTGCCCTTTGAGGCTATCTGCCTGAAGTACATCAGTAAGTCAGGGATTTGACTTGTAAGTCTTACCCACAAGTCTTAACTCCCCATTCCTCTATCTAGTAACTTTCTTCTCCCAATTTCCATGTCCCACTTAAGAAATAGTTAGCAATATGTCTTAAATCACATTATCTATGTTGTTAGACTCTAGTTTCTATAGAAAAATGGATCAGTTCATACCTTGCAAAAGTTGCTGTTACAACAGATAACATCTACACTATGTTCATTTAGTAATTATACTAAAAAAAAA